GTGGGCCACGACCTATGGCCGCGCACGCACCCCATCCCCACCTAGGCTGCTTTGCTGCTGGACCAGGACGATCTGGGCCGCTACGGGCCCAAAGAACCTTTTTCCTTTTTCCGTGTCTTGTTAATTTCAGTAAGCGGCTGAATATTTGGAAATTGATAATAAAATGTAGAAAAATCACAAAAATGCCAAACCAATTTTGTTAAGCTCCTAAAATCATGATCTATCTATTGGCGTATTTGGTTCATCTAGTTTTAAAATATTTCTAGGGTTGCTCTAATTATTTTAAAATGTTTAATATTGTTAAAATGTGAACTTGTGGGAATTTTTTGGAGAAAATGGTGATAGTGTTGACTCTAAAAATTTTACAGTAAATTCCTAATATTATTAGCTACTCATTATAATTTTTGTAGCTCCAAAATAATTAGTTTGCTAGATAGATAATGATGCTCTATTTTGAATAAAGATTAAATCGATATAATGGAATAAAGAAACAACTTGGAATTATATAACTAAAACACTTGTTGGGAAATGACATCTTTCTCGATGATGTTGATACATAGATTAGTACATAGTCATTAGAGCTAGCTTGTTAGTTTGTAGTATGTGCTCGGTTTTAAGAGTTGTTGTTGCCTTGTTAATTAACTGTTGCATCATCTCTGCGTCGCATTGCATACCATAATAGGGACGATGATGGATCGCAGAGTCATCGGGAGTTGTTGGTGAGATGATACTTTTAGAGATCGTGTCACCAAGATGGAATACTAACTTTTGGTTATATGTTACCCAGGCAAGCCCCGGTGCATAACCCCTACTTTTCTGCACTTTATATTATGTTTGTACATTAAGTTTTAAGAAGTTGAATGGAACCCACTTGCATATATATATCTTTATCCTATGAGTCTTACTAGTATGATAGCATCATGTAGATTGCTATGATACAGGACTCCGGTAAAAGTCGAGTGATTGCCTGTCACTCATGAGAGATAGGAAATATATTATTGTTGTTACTATATTATTACCACCTGGAATATATATGAATGATAATTGAGACCTGGGTGGAATAGTACTTTGGATCTAGACTTGGTTTGGCATTCGAAGCGAGGCTCGGATTGCATTTGTTCTCGCTTTGTGTCGATTAAGGACCCAAGGCGTTGCATTGGGTTCTAGGCAGGTCATAGACTTATTATCCTAAACACATACTTGTGTATGGGCACAGGGAAGGCATGTTGCTCTCTTGTCGTGGGTTCCAGCTCTTTCCGGACCGACTAATTGGAGGCGGGGATGGTAGAGGTCTAAGCACCGTACTGAGTCCGGGACTCAGGAGTGGGGGCTTGGAGTCCAAGTTTGGATGGGACCTGGACACCATGACAGGAGAGTGGTGGGTTGGCCTTGCTTGTGTCTGGGGTACAAGCGGGGCGCGTGTTACGGGATACCCAGCTGGGCACATTGATTCGCGAATCGCCGGCGATCCAGTACGACTTGTCTATAGTCTAGCAACGTAGTAAGAACTAAAAGATGGTAAAATAGTTCTGATTGCTTACCACCTGCTTGAAGGTAGCACAGGTGCTTACATAGAATGGTTACTTAATGAACTAACGATGACTATTGATAAAATTGAATATAAGGACACACGTTTAATAATACTCCTGCAGATGCAATAAACCCACAAGCCAGATAGCCTTGCATATCCTTGGGGTCTTTTCTTTCCTCATGTCGGTAAGTCTTGCTGAGTACAATTGAGTACTCGGGGTTTTATTTCCCCCTATTGCAGGTGACAGGCGGATGCTAGAGCTGACCCTTGTGTGTGGATTCCTCCTGGTGGGCTCAGCGGGGATTCCTTTACGCTGCGATCATAGTCTTTATTTATAACTCTCATTAAATGTTTTTATAAAGAGAAGTTTTATAATCTGTTGTCATAGTTTATATATCAATGTTTCATCATGTCATGAATAGTTATTTATTTTCGTTGTAACTCGATCACATGTTTATATTCTCTTTGTAAATTAAATTGTCCATAACTCGATGTTGCATTAAAAGTGATGTAAGAAATGGCTAAAATGTTGTAAGTTTTATTCTCTTATTTGTGATCCCGATGAAAAAAAATATGGATTTTGGGTTCTCCTATGGGTGTGTGCTGATTTAAACTACGTAATTTAGTGTTCTCCCTTGAGTACTTAGTGTCTAATGTAACACAAGTGCTCCTGAGATGCATTAGATTATGCGATTCTACCACAAATAATGAGCAAGATATGGATGAAGGGGGTGCTCATGATCAAGAAGAGAAGAAGACTCAAGATCTCATCCGAAGCCAACCATCTCAAATGTAAGCTCTCATGGTTCTTCCTAACCTCTAACCAGTATTGTGTCTTCATCCCCAATCTCTAATCACAGTGTTCTTGCACAAGAAGAAGCTCCTCTCTCAAATGGTCCTATCCACCGTCCCTAAGCTAGAAGGTCTCTCCCTCATGGTGTGAAAATATCCACAAGGACGAGGTAGAACTTGGTCACCCCAAAATCTAAGTCCCTAATGGGTTACACTAGCACAGAAATGATTTTCAAAGACGGACACCCTGCCCACCACTGTCCAAAGGTCGCTGCTAATCGGAAACAATAGACGCGGTGCAAAATGCCCGCATCTAAAAATGGTAAAAAAACAAAAAAAAAGGTCAGCGAGCCCCGTGCCGAGCCCGCTGCCTCACTTGTTGTCGAGCCCGCCACCTCCTCAATTGATGATGCCTCACCCTAGGTCTGGGCCTCCTCAATTGATGATGGCTAGCTACGAGTGTCGCTCGCTAGAGAAGGGTGGATCTGAGCGTGGCTACCGGAGAGAGGAGGACCCCACGCAAGCGCGCCTGCTAGAGGGTGGAGGCAATGGTGGAGCCAGAAATTATATACTGGGGGCTAGCTACAAAGATTCGACTTCTAAAAGTCGAGGACAACTCAAATGGTTCGGTTCCTCGCGGTGATCGTCTGGGTTAATTCAATGACTTGACATATACGGGTGTTCATATTTTCTTATGTATGTATTCTAAGATTTAAAGCGCTATATGGTAGGTGACATGCCCGTACACAAAATGCTTATGGCCACAGGTGGGACTTGAGAGTAACAGAAGATGATAGGTCCATATGCACAGTACACAAAATCTGTCAACTCAAAGTGCTAAAATTGAGATTCTACCTTTTTGTCCTCGAGGAAAGGCAAATTTTCCTAGATTATACTATGCTAGTGGTAGCATTTGATGAATCGTGAGAGGTGTCGATCGCTTTGCTTCATACCTCAACATTTAATTTCTAGCCTAGCTAGCTAGGCAGAGAGTTGGCGGATGAGGAAGAAGATGTTGGGCCATGGGCGCTGGGCAGAGGAAGATGAATAGAAACCCGGAGTAGGGATGTAAACGGATTAGATACGGACGAATATCACTAATATTACATTTGATTTTACATTTTTGTTTTTGCACCTATACTAACCTAAAGTGCGGCGGCCGTTTTGCTCACCATAGCTTAGGCACCGCCGTAGCTTAGATATGGCTCGGTCACAGCATGAACCAAACTCTCCCGTTCAACTCTTCAATCCACCCTAAAAAGGAGATGCTGCCAGCGCTAACTCCTCGTAGGCCACATTGGCATGCCCCCATACGTACAGTATAGCAGCAGCTCGGTGAGTGCTCAAGTGGACCTCAATCGATCGAGTTGGTTGATGTAAAGCCGCTCGATCATCGATCCTTTTTTGTTGCATACCTAATGGCAATTCACTTTTGCCGCGCGTGCTGGGTGGCGCTAGTGGCACAGCCAGGGGGCGGCAGGGGGCTGCTCGATCATCAATCCTTCTTTTGCTGCATGCCTAATGGCAATTCACTTTTGCCGCGCGTGCTGGGTGGCGCTAGTGGCACAGCCAGGGGGCTGCTCGATCATCAATCCTTCTTTTGCTGCATGCCTAATGGGGCCATGCCCCCCCTAACATATGACAATAATCTTTTTATCAGTATATAATCTTATAATTTTTATTATATTTAGTGAAAGAATATAACAAAATTATTGCTATATATACCTATTAATACCTTCTGCTCCCTTCGTCTAATAAAAAGTGTTATTCTTATTTTCCAAGAATTCAAATATTTCCAAATTTGACCAAATGTATATAAGAAAAGATTTATATTTATAGTACATAATTAGTATCATTAAATAGATTGTGCAATATATTTTCATAATAAACTCATTTAGAGATATAAATATTACTAATATTTTTAAAAAGCATAGTTGAACTTAAGACCAACATGAATTTCACAGCAACACTTTCTATGGGATGGAGAGAGTATATAATAAAGTTATACAAAACACAGCTAGATAATAAAATCATTCCTACGAACATCTCCAAAAGACTAAATTGATAGGTCTCGAGATTTATGAAGTCACCATAGAGCCTTGCTTCAATGGGCATGTCGTATACCATTGAAAGAATAAGGCCTTAGATTCTAGAATACATATAAAAAAATGTGAGCAATCGTAAGTCGATAAATTAACTCAGACGATCACCAAAAAAAACCTAATCAGTTGAGCCAAGCTCAATTTTTACAATGGTTTTTTTTTGGCCGGCCCTCCTATGTATAATTTCTGGCTCCGCCATGAATCCATATCAACTTTATTTAACATGTATGCCGTGCGGCAACGTGCAAGAAATTCTCCTATTTTAATAAGAACCGATGCAAGAACAAGTAAATCTAACTTATACATGCAATGATTTTATTTCTAAAAAAAATCCTGCAGCAACACACGGTATCGTTCTAATTATTATACATAATATGTACAGACTACATAGTTATATAATCATATACAATCAAGGTACATCAAAATATGAAAATGATAGCACTAATAACCTATACAGGTGCGCTGCATGCGCGTACACTCTCGCAAAATATAAGGAAAAACGACATTACTACTACTACTCCTCAACATATTATTTTTACAGGCGTAAAAAAATAAAAGAAAAGTACAGTGTAGAGTTACAGTAACAGAACGGCAAGATCTAAAAATATGTACTTCACGTATTGCAGGTTCAACATTCTTAATCCGCCGTCCGAAAGTGGCTGCGGACCTCCAGATAGCTGGTCAGCCTGCGGTTGTGGATTTTGGTTCGAAACAGGTTGGGTCCCCGATGCCGGTTGCGGCTGTTGCACGTTTGGGTCAGGCAACGGCACGGGCTGTGGCTGAGGCTGTGGGTTGTTTGGGTCCTGCGGCGGGAGTGGGCCTGGCTGTGGGTTTGGATCGGGCTGCGGTAGGGGCTGCGGTAGGGGCTGAGGCTGTGGGTTTGGATCGGGCTGCGGTAGGGGCTGTGGGTTTGGATCCGGCTGTGGAAGGGGCTGCGGCTGTGGGTTTGGATTTGGTTGCGGCAGGGGCTGTGGCAGGGGCCCCGGCTGCGGCTGTGGGTTTGGGTCCGGCTGAGGCTGAGGCTGAGGCAGCGGAGTTGGCAGCTGCTGCAAGCTTCGACCACGACGTGCCTCCGGGGAGCTGTCAAGCGCGGTTGCCACTGCAAGCGATCCGGCTGCAAGGAGAAGTAGCAGCGGCGGCAGCAGGGCCAGGGGAAGGGACGACGACCGTGGGCGCTTCGCCATGGTTGGAGCTCGAGGTGGTGATGGACTGGTGGTCGTGGTGCTTGATGGCGCTCAGAATTAACTTTGTGGCTCAGTGCATGGCTCACTGCCTGCGGTGTAAAGCAGAGTGGATGGATCAGGTCGGAGGGGCCTTGATATTTATAGCCGCAATTAGCCAATGGACGGCTGGCTTGTGTCGCCGATGACCCACTGATATCTCCAGCACAGTGGATTAGTTGAGCACACGCTAGCACGAGAGTAAGATGTACACAACCTGCAGTAAATGTACACCAAATTGTTGTTCTAGGCATTAAGAGCATACGAGGGAGGAATAGACTACGCAGTACTCGACACCTTGACAGCTCAATTGTTTTTACGAAACAGAGAAGGGCGAACTGCTACTGACTAAAACGTATTTATTAAAAGAGGAGTGTAGCCAGCAAAAGAAGAAAACGAGAAGTTTACAAGAGTAAAAAACAAGATCAATCTACTAAAGGTTCTAGCCATTATTTAGTCTGAGGAAAATATCTTCTCTTTACATGATGACTCCAAGGATAATATGTGCAAATTCATGCTTGATGATAGCATCTCTCTGCAGCCTTGAACTGAAATGCTTCTATGGTTAAAGATGTAACCATTGTTTGTGGGCAATATACTCCAGCATATAATAATCAAAATCTCCATGAAAAAGGCCACAGTTAAGACCTTGTTTGGATGCACATGTATTCATCTCAATCTACATGTGTTGAAGTGAATTGGAGTGGAATTAAACTAAGTCTCATTCTAATCCACTCCAACACATGTGGATTAAAGTGGATACACATGCATCCAAACAAGGCTAAACCGAATTTTGGAGGAGTCCAAAATCTAAAAGGATGGTTGATCTTTTGGCACTTGTGAGTTGTGAACCAAGCATATCACAAACATTATTGTTTGCAAAGAGGGGAGACAAAAGATGATGCTCATCAAGAGTTCCTTCACGCCCACACATGCACAGGACACAATTATAACTGGGAGAACCATCAGCCTGTTCGGCAGGCCGTATCGTATCGTGGATTATTTACTGTTGGCTGGTTTGGTGTGAGAGAAAAACACTGTTCCCGGCTGAAAATTTACGATCGTTTACGAGCAAGCGAACAGGCCGCATATTCTTCCTTCTCAACTATTCTTTAGATTCTAGACTCTAGTGAATTGAAGCATGTAGTAATTAACTGGGAGAACCATATTCTTCCTTCCATTACCCGGCCGGTAAGCCTTAGCTTTCTGATAAACTACGAAGAAGTTTGCATTTCCCGAAATTTAAGACCAAATTAAATGCCATGTGAGGAAAAAAAATTGTAAACAAGAACAGTAATTGTGGAAATGGTACTGGTCTAAAACTCCATATTCCCAGAGAAATGAGAATGAAGCTATATATGCACACCCACTCCTATATTATATTAGTATCCAAACTCAAAACAAATGTTTCCTGCTAAAGATTTAGAGCTCAAGAGAAAACCTAACCATACAGCAAGCATATCCTCGAAAACAATACGCAACTACGACAGTAAGTGGCTGCAATGCGTACGTATGCTATCTTTCCGACTAAGCAACTCGTGTTTCGACGATTGTGGCTGTAATTTTCACACACACCTTTGCCAAACGTGTATGCAATTCTGGCCACTCGCATCTGCTGCAGTACTCTGGCTATCTTTCCGACTAAGTACTCTTGCTGAACCTCGCTAGCAAATTAACCACGGCTGATTCGAGCAGAAAACAACCTGCTTTCAAATCGTGCGCAAGAGTCAAAAAGTAGTAACCGCACACGATGACTTGAAGCTTTTCTTGCCGTACTCTGGCTATCCTTCGATTATTACTCTTGCCCAACACGCCGGCAGCATCACCAAATCACCGCGGATTCGGGCAGATATTTCTTGCCGGACGGCGGAAAGCAACGGCACGCAGGCGCTTAGCTTTCGTTTCTAGTCGAGCTACGACATTGTGAGTCAGAAAGTATACGACATCGACGTGTACTGTTTGGTTAGTTCCTGTCATTAGTAATGTAACATAACAGACACGAGTCACGCGACAGGGCTCATGAGCAAGAAAGTATAGATGCTATCCGTTCCTAAGTACGGACTTGTGCGTCATCTCTCCATTGACAAAACAGGTCACCCTGGCCCCTTTGGAAGCCTTGCTACTTCGCACAAGGTTTCGCCATTATACTTGTCTTTTTTTTTAATCCTAGCCCGTGCCATCTGCACACGGTTACGTACCTTCCTGATAAAGGGAGCCATATCCAAATACTGCTCTGCTGCACTACTTCAGCGGTATTTTTCAGCGAGCGAACAGTGTTTTTCTCTCACGACAAATTAGCATAAGTATTAGCATAAGCCAAATTTCCGCAAATGTATCTCCAATTCTTCATCCTTACAATGTTATTGTTCGTCACCTGGACCATGGAGACCGGGCAATCAGTAACTCAGTGGTCAGTAAAGAGTACTGCCGCATTATGGTCTATCAGAGCAATGAACACTGTTCGCACCTATAATTGGTCGGTTTTGGTTTTGCTGGAAAACCGGCCAGTTTTGGAACTTTATCAAATTGCATAATGGACTTCAAGTGAATGTTTCTCGTCAAAGATCGAAATACAATACGTCTAGTTTAGAGTCCCAACCAGTAAATCACGTCTTTGGGAAGTCCACACCTTTGGAAGGACAAGACAGTGTAGTCTAAGTTAGGAGTTCTATTTTGGCATGGATTTTGTAAGAGTTTCGATGATCATATAAATATAAAGGGCCACGGTCGGTCGATTGAGGTACCTAATGATAACAAAATTCAATCTACTACTCTTTTGTCCTTATCTCTTTTCAAACTTTAATATGTTGTTCTTCGTCTCAGCGGGGATTGAAAGCGTTCTAGCTGGCCTATCGATGCTAGAGCAACCAAAGATGTGTTTGCCGTGACGGGTCCTTCTTGAGCGAGCGCTTGTTGGTCACCAATGAACATGATCATAACTGTCGGTGTTTCGGAACCGGGGATCCTTAACCGACTAGTGAATTTATGCTGCGTGCTCCCAATTTCGGATGGTGATACAAAAAGACACAAGGTTTATACTGGTTCGGGCAATGGATGCCCTACATCCAGTCTGAGAAGATGTTCTTGTATTCCTTGCACCGGGGTGCTCGTAGTAGGGGGTTACAAGCTAGGCGAGAGAGGGAGTTCGTCCCAAGTCTCTGTGAGGGGAGGTGATATGAATTACAGAATGCGGCGTGTTGTTCGTGCGAGTGTTCGTGACTCTATCCGCCGTCCCTAGAAACGGTCCTGGCCGCCTCCTTTTATAGCCGCAGGGAGGAAACCAGGAGTACATAAGAGAGCTACACGTGGAGCGGACTATTCGATGACGTATTTACTCCTGGAGCAGCATGGCGTTGTCGTGGGAGTTCCCGTAGATGTCTAATCGGTATGGTCTCCACTGCAAGTAACATGCTGCGCATTTGTTGACTTGGTGGATTGCAGAGGCTCGGCGGCCATCGTAGCCGGTCGTGCCGAGGCCTGTTGTGCCGAGGCCTGAGAAGTGACCCAGGTGCAGATGCGGGTCTCAGCGGCCATCAGGCGGAATAGTGCGAGACGTGCGCCTACAGGATACGGTACCTGTATTGTCAGTAAGGGATGGTAAAAAAGGTGATCTGACCGTTGTCCCGTCGCTCCTCATTGCGGTAGCCAAGACCGCCGATCATGGCTTACGAAGCGGGTGCGGTGAGCACATTAATTGGATGCGACGACTGCCGGAGAGACCTTTGAGGCGGAGGCGACGAGGTTGCGGGACGAGCCCGCCTCGGCGAAGGCGAGCGCAGCCAATTCGTCGAAGGCCCTACCGGGGGTCTCGGGCGAGGCGGACGGGCGAGGCGGAGTAAGATCAGCGAATCCGAGGTCTGTCGAGGGGCTCGGCGAGCAAGCGGTCGGTCCGCTGATTTCGAGGCTACTGAGGAACCGCGTTCGACTCCCCACGTTATGCGATGTCCTTGGCGCAGGAGTTAGGCAAAGACAAGATGTCGGTAACCCCCGCTCGCGCTGCCGTCAGATGGCGGGAGGTGGACGCGATTGGCGTGTAGTCGGTCTTACTGCATCTGTACTGTGCCATCGTGCGTCTGTCGGAGTGGTTGGGCGCTTGGATGCGACATTCGGTCAGAGCAGTTTGGTCAAAGAGACGGTCACGGGGCTGGTGCTGAGCCGGCCTCGCGCGAATCAGAGAATCAACACTTCTTCCAAGGCCCCGGGCGAGGGGGCCTCGACGAGGGGGCCTCGGCGAGGCGGTCTCGGGCGAGTGGGAGAATCGTTCGCTTCCGCCGGGGCTCGGCGACAGGGTCTTGGGCGAATCGAAGATTTCGGCCGAAACCTCGTTTGTTTATTCTGTTGGTTCTGTTCTTAGGGTCTAAGCAGTTTTTCGATCTTTGCTTGGGGTACCCCATTTTCTGGTATCCGACAGTAGCCCCCGAGCCTCGAGCAGGAGTGTGGGATACTCTCCCCGAGGTTTTTTCGAGACTTTTGTTTCTCAGTGACTCTTGTCGGGTTTGTTTTATACTCATGATGACTGTGGGTGTGCTGAGCGATCTGGCCGGGTGTAGCCCCCGAGGCCTTAGAGGAGTGAGTTTACTCCTTTAGGGGCTTTTTCTTCGTTGAGTAAGGAGCTCTATCGCATTTGCTAGACCCATGAGAGCGAGCTCGGGTCGCTTGTTTTCGTTTGGGGTGTAGGAGGAGCCCCCGAGCCTGCCGAGCCCTCGCGTGCGATCCTAGGTCGCTGGGTCTCGGCAAGCTTTGCAGGAAGAGCCCCCGAGCCTCCGCACGGAGCGAGAGGGCGGTCAGGAGTTCTCCTGGCTTTTTGCACGACCCTCGCACATCCCTTTCGCTAGGAAGGAGGGGTTGTTTGCCGAGCCCTTCGCGTGTGAGCCTAGGCCGCTGGGTCTCGGCAAGCTTGCAGGAAGAGCCCCCGAGCCTCCGCGCGGAGCGAGAGGGCGATCATGAGTCCCCCTGGCTTTTTG